TCAGTGGCATGATCACCTACCAGACATCAAACCATTCTACGGTAATATCTTAAAGTGCTCATAGTAAATTTACAAATGATTCTAAATGAAAATTTGAATGGTGAAATATTTCTTGATTTGATGAGTGTTGCAGTAACACTAGAGAAAAGCATTTGTGCATGCGTGCATTTCAGTACGTTTTCTAAGAATTTTGAAGAGTTTTAGTAAGAAAATAAATAATTGTTTTCTCCAAGTATACAAAAAATTTCGCGAGTTTATTTTTGTGAGACCAAGATATTGTATTAACAGACACAATATGAAAGAACTAGCCTTACTGTTTCAAGCATGGACATTAAGTTTTGGCATTTTGTGAAGTCCAATTTATCAGGCATGTTTGAAAGTCAAATTTACATATGTTTTGCATACTAATTTGCATACGGATTCAGAGCATGCGCAGACGCTTTTCTCGTTTCTGTTGYAGTAGGAAATAATAGTAGTGATGTRCATGTTGTAATGAATTCATTTCGTTCTTGTATGTTTTTTTAATTATCTTTTCAGCTGTCAAGTGTAATGATGATCCTATTTTGATAAGGCTTCTTCACAAGCTTGGAACCGGCTTTGACTGTGCCAGCAGGGTAAGTAAAACGCAGCACAGGGATCCCAATTTAGAAAAAATTGAAAGATTTAGTAAAATCGGAAAAAATAAATACATAATTATTCTTTTTTTCATTTGATCGGAGGTCAAGATAATGTCCTCAGTAATACGTAAGAGTTMAAAATCAATTAAAAAAATGCACTAGAACATCTTTTTTCCCGCKCGTTTTTGTTTTCCTATATTATTCCCCTATGATAAATTAACTCAGGTATCTAATGTGGAAGAATGTTTTATGTTTTATTGAACAGAAAGAGATARAGACGGTGCTTGGAGTGGGTATTCCTTCATCGGAGATTATTTATGCGCACTCCTGCAAAAAGAAGTCCAGCATTTCGTAAGTTGATTCTTAACACACTGACACTGAACCGTCTCAAAAGAAAAGAAAGAAAAAAAAGGAAAGAAAAGAAAATAGAAAATAGAAAAAGAAAAAGAAAAAAAGAAAACAACAAACGAGTAACAACAAAGAAAAACAATTCAATTATGTTTAGTTGCAGTCCAAACAGGTTAGTTACTGCGTTTGGGTTATCGTTATTGTTGTGCGAGTTGTAGTTGACCTGAAAAAGTTCGACGACGTTTGACCTAATTAGGCTCAGATCAAGCGCCGAACTTCAGAACGATAAGCTGAACCTTATCACATCGAAGACGACCGCCTTTTATATTCATTGTTTCAATTAGGCTCGACTCCTGTGAACTTCGACATTTGACCAGAGCCTTAGTAACGGTGTTTTGGTTTTTGTAATTGTCGTGCGAG